TACAGGTATATAAAGCTGTAAATAACCAGCTCCCTAGCAACATACAATAAATGTTTGGTAAAAGAGATGGAAGATATGACCTCAGAGGCACTCATAACCTCAAAGTTCAAAGTGTTCACTCTTCCTTAAAAAGTTGCTGTATTACCCGGAGAGGTGTACATTTGTGGAATAATCTAGAGGAACCCTTAAAAGATGTTGCTTGTTTACAGCTATTCAAAAAACGATACAAGAGAAGTGTGTTTGAGAAATATGCTAAAGACATGTAATCTGTTAAGTATTATCGTGAATCTGATTAACCACATCATTGCCGAAAGAACCAGTGTCACCAACCTCAAATTCAAAGCACTACCCGGCACAGGACATAAAACCTTACACAATACATAGTTAGGGCAGCAGGGTGTGGCTAGCTGATGGGGGGGGTCTCTGCCCTCAGCCAACTGGCCACGTCACGCCCTTGCTTTTTAATGCATCTCACTTAAAAAGGCAAACAAAAAAAAGTAATTCTACAGTCACAACCAATATTTTATAGTGAATCGAGAATGACGGCAAGAGGACATTCTACAAAAATGTGTAGTGCAAATAAATTATGTGATTCTAAAATGGAAATGATGGTAAAGGGACTTATAATCATGATTATGTATTGTCGACAAAATGTAATGCAAATAATAATGAAATCATGATCAGTCAAAAGATTGGTGATCGGTATTCTTAGGTAATGATGGTATATGGTTATCATATGAAATGAAAAAAAAATAAAAAAAAAGTGTGTATATATATATGCATATGTATATATGAATATATAAACCCACATAAATAATAATAATGATTATTTTACCTTGGAAGTCGTGTGAAAAACTTGTGATAATCATGAATGCTTTTCTAATCAATGCTGACGTGTGTTTGGTTAATGTGGACACTGGACAACTGTAATCGTAGAATTGATTGTGATCATGGATGAGCACATCCACAGAGCCTTGGGTGTGCCTATGTATGGAAATGATCATTCACTAATTGCTTGTAAGTAAACAGGCCCATGCACCTTCTGATGTGCATGTGCCTGGGTAACTCAGGAACTCGTGTTTATTGTATGTAAACTGTATGATGCCTGTGTTCACGGTTATTGTCTGCAGCTTAAAGTGATCACTTGGAACAGGGGGTGGGCACTAATAAGCTTAATCGCTTCAGCCTACCCCTTTTGAGCCACTTTATAACAGTGTAACCTTGTAACAATGAAAAATATGTTTGTAAAATGCTCAAATAAATAACAATCAATTTGAGAGTATTGATACTGATTGATTACACATTTTATGAGAGAAAGTTTAGTTGAACATGGAATAAAAACATAATTAGAACAAAAAACTTCAGACAATTAATACAGAGAGAAAAAATACACAGTAATTTTGTTTTGGTTATTTTCTATACATACACACCTTTTTTACGTTAAGGTGAAAACCAAAATGATTACTTGTTTGTAAGTCTCTTTTTCTAGAAAGACAAATATTACATGAGATGGTTGTTTTTTTTTGGCACTTGCAGTTTCACATTTTGGTCACAACGCAGCGATAGTCCTCATGTGCTTTCCGAGTTATTGGCTAACAAACCTCAGCAGGATTGAGGAAGTAGCACTTGTCTTGATCACTCAAATGTGTTCCGCAATTTATCTTCAAAAAAAGAAAGGCGAAGTCGAAAGAATAAACTATTTCAATGTTTTGCTCGGATCAAGTTTCAGATGAAGTGCCACTAGAAAGTTTTTATTGTATTTTTTATGAATTTGAGAATGTCCAAATGTTTCCAAGATCAGTATTTAACACTAGAATTCCGAGAACAATAATATTTCACGGCATAATTCACGGCAATTGATTTAAAACTGTGGACATTTTTCTGTTTCTTGTTACTGAAACACAAACTATTGTAGTCTGTCGATCATTCTAACCATCTATCTATCTGTCTATCTGTCTATCTGTCTATCTATAAGCGAGTGTATTTGCAGACTCTGGACCTTGAGTCTGCAAATACAGTTTATCTATCAGCTATACTGTGTCTATTTATCCCTATGCGTAATTGTAAGAAAAAGATTAAAACATCTTCATATCAGGTAGTGTTTTTCATCCTATGGTAACAGTTAAATTGGATTAACTGATTACAGTTTTTCTCGAGTCGCTTTGGTGCATTTTCACATCGTGGTTCTCACATTTTCACAAACTGTTGGTGCATTTTCCTCAAACGAGAACAATTAGTGCAACAGCAGAACTCGTGGATAACCTGCAGAAAGTGCGTCACTTTCTCAAAATGAAAAGTTATGTCCTCAAAACAAGTTCAAACGTCAATGAAACTGTCCTGTGTCGTCAAAATAATATTCCTAACAACATTAGATATGAACATCACATTCAAATGGACTTAGACATGTTTTCATTGTGAAAGTTTACTCTCAGTCTGTGTGTTTCAGATAAAAAAAGTCAGATCTCGGTGACACAATGAGCCACGACTACTGTATGAGCACACTATATAACGACCTATACAGCCATTACAGTAAAACTACAGTAAAAGTGACACAAGACTGTATTTAGAGAGTTAACTGACATCTGGTAGACTATTTTATATATGTGTAAACGTATGTATGATGATGTGAATCTATGTTGGTATGTACGGGTAATTGTAAGTGTGTATCTATGTCTGTAATGCACTGTATGTAATGTGTGTATGGTTGTGTGTATCTATGTATGTATTTACAGTATGTATATGTAATGTGTGTATCTATTTTATGTCTGTACAGTATGTATATGTAGTGTGTGTATTGTGTAACTATGTATGGTGATGTACAGTATTAATGTATGTATGTGTACTGCATATGGCTCTTTGTATTTTTGTTGCACAATGCTGTATAATTGCAGGCACATACAGTAATACTGTACATGTAGTTATATACATAGAAAACAAACATACAAGTAAATATCATTATGGTTAGAACGGTGTGACAAAAATGACAATAAAGCATACCTCATGAGTGAAAGCTGAAATTCACCTGGGATAGAATTGTTCCAATTTTAAGAAAGATATACAGGAAAAAAAGATGAAGAATGTATGAAATTAGCTTGACAGTTATGATTTTGAGAACTAGTTCAACGAATTTTGTATGTGATGGACCAAAGCGATGAAATGATGACAGTTAGTTTTATAGTGAAATGACTATTTCAAGAATGATAAGTGTGTTTCATTTTGACTGACGGACAGAAGCAAATGATGATGTTGAAAAAACGCTGAGAATGTATGAAAGTTAACTGATACATGAACAAACAGCCTTTGAAAATGTGTTCAGAGGAATGAGAAACTGCCAGATCATCGTGCACGCAATGACCGGGCAATGTTGTGGAAGTTGAACAAATAGTGTTTGAGAACTATTTAGTCTGCTGGTGAAAAAATGCACCAAGCGAACTGAGAGGGGAAACTGAAATTCATTTGTCCCTTGTAGACCAAAGAACGAAAGTGTGTATGTAGGAGGGGAAGTTACTTTCTAGTTGTTCCATAACGTCATTTTCTCTGGTGTGCAAAAATATAGTCCAATCTCGTTCTAATTCACCTCCAAGCTTATGATAAAGGGTCAAAATGAAGTAAAACCATTTCCTCTTAGAAGGGTGTTTTTTGAAACAGGAAACATCTGATTCACACTCTTCATTTATAAAAGTTCACGACCTCTTTAATCTCTCTGTGACTGTTGATCTTTCGAAAGAACGAGCTTCACGCACAAGTATTTGCATAATTTTATTGGAAAAAAAAAATAGAATCTGCAAGATTGCTACATGATGGTTTGTTTGACAAAACTGCACACACACACTCGAATAACATGTTATTAACAGAATAAAATTCAAAACACAATGGTCCTAACGTGTGACATTGCTTCTAAGAAGCCGTTGTTTTGCCTCCCAATGTTTTTAAGCACATGAACACAATATTGATCGCATTTATCAGGTCACACTTGCCATTGGTCCTGAAGCGGGCATTGAGGTCTGCTGTCGCAAGGATATCTGTGACGTTGACGTGTTGGAGCAGCCTTGCGCCCTTGACAAGACTCTTCAGATGCTGCATGATGAAACTTGCGGCATTCTCCTTGTGTCGAAATAGTACAACAGCCAACCGGAGTCCAGGATACAGTCAACCCCATAGCACCAAAAGTCACCTGATGTGCGTCGTGAGATGTTGTTAAAGATCTGTTGAACCATTGCACTGCTGCCCCACCCTTCTTGAATCTTCAACACCGCTAACAAGCCCACGGCCCATGACAACGTGTGTGGCAAAAAGCACAAGATGAAGACACACCGACCACCGCTAGCAGCACTGCGTACTCTTTGCTTGACACCCTCTGGGGCGCTGAGTTGCGTTGGAAAAAAACTCTGGTGACTTCCTGGATTAAAACGTAGAATGACTCTTAGCTCAGATTGGAAGCGGAGATTGCGTGAAGAGGTTTTGAACGCTGAAGTAAGGTTGCATCTGAACGACGAGGAAAAAGATAACAAAAACATTGGCGATTATGGCGAAATTTAAAACTGGGGGGGACGCGGCATACGTTTTTCTTCTGAGAATCGGTTTGATTTTGTTATCCTGTCAAAGCAGCGAGTTTTACCGTCGGAAGCCAGTGGGTTCCAGGTGAAAGTAGATAAGGAACGGACATGGGCGACGAGCCAGCAAGCCAAATGGACACGCAAATTACATCCCCGATTTCGCGGGTCCGAAGATACAGCATCCAAAGCGGCTGATTCGAGACGCCCAGTATCGGTGACACTAATAGCACCCAAGTAAAGGATGGAAGAAATATGTATTGACGAAAAATATGTGATCCTTTAAACGACACAATAAATCGGAGTATATCCAATCGCACGAAGCACGACTGTAATAATCTATCCAAAAAGGTAGCGCCGACCACTAAAGAGAAGGTCCGCCACGGTGAGGTTGGTCATGAGATGCGAATTTCGCCCATGGGCTCTAGCTTCGCGAAGACAACGAGATCACGAACAGACGTAGATGTTGGGCGCGAAGACCCGTGGCAAGATCAAGGCGTAGATGGGAGGGAAGAGGCATAGCGAAATCTCCGAGTCCAGGAAGGAAGAGGTGTTGTTGGGAGAGGGGAGACCTGCTGGTTGGCTGTTGGGGACCAGGGTGGAGGGAAAGCATAATGAGTCCAACTGGGGAGAGAAAAACTGTGTTAGATATATTAAGACTAAGATAAAGCAGAATTATTTATTCCTCCCACATGAGGAATGTCAGTTGGTTGCATCATCAGTGAAAGAAACAGTAGAATGAGGAGCACACAGCTAAAAATGAGTAAAGCGTAAATACAAGTGAAAAATAAATACAATCTCTCTCTATATTTAATGCATATAAAGGAAGCAAGTTTATGAATCTCTATGGTTGGGCCTAATAAAGAAGCAGTTTAAAATGAACCTACAACATTATAGTTGAGGCAAGTTTTGCAATGTCCCGTACCCAGAGGGCTTTAACACTATTAAAACACATTATAAGCTTAGTAAAATGTTCACATTATACAGACAGGCAGGACTAAGTACAACATTGAAGATACAAGAACAAAGAAAAGAGACAGTCCCAAAGCGAGTTTCAGTGCAAATATGCGGTAAAGTGCAATATTTGTTTAAAGGATTCTATGTGCATTAAGGTGCTTCACAACTGTTTAAATTAGTTCCCAACTTCTATCTTCCCGCACACCAGTGGCCTATGGCGTCTGTCCTGAGGGTCAACGTGTTTGCTGGCAAACAAGCATTTTAGCCCAAAACACTATCATTTTAGGTTAGTACAAGTTTAGTTATGAAGGAGAGAAACTGGATATTGAAACAGGGCGAGAACATGCACCATATAGAACAAGACAGGGGTTTTAGTCCTGACCTCTGGGTAAATACTTTATTGGAGCAGATTAAATAAAGTCGTTAGTCATGTATAGCAGAGCGACAGTGCATAGGTAACAGCGGTAAAATAAGGGGCTTTGAGGTCTGAGCTGAGGTGTCCACAATAGCACTATCAGATGAAGAACTTTTTTTCGTCCCATCAGTGTGTAATTCAAATATATAATATAGCAGCTGCTATGTTTCTTAGCTAGCTGTAAATGCGACATAAGAGCATCAAGTATCAGATATGCAGTATGTGTGAGTGTGTGTAAATTGTAGTGTCAGGATAATCAAGTAGTTAAAGGTACATTCAGGGACGCGCACTTTATTTTCAGTATGTGCATATTGCACATGATTATCAAACTTTACTATTTGCAGATGGATGGTACTTGTACAAGTTCAGCAGTTCTCATTGTGCAGCTCTTACAGCAGCAGGAAGAAAGAACCTGTGAAACCTCTCCTCACATCGTGGGTTCGGTCGTCACAGTAAAAACAAAAAAAAAAAAAAAAAAAATCCTGCTCTCCAGAGATATAATTTTGAAAATTTATTATTGTTAGCATTCCAGGCTTTTTCCTGTAAGAGGTGATCACGAAATGGTGTCCCTCCAGGAAAGGCCTGATAATATTCAAGGATTCAAGATTAGTGTAATATATGTAGCCCGAAGGAAATTTATCTTAGACTCACAGTTTCTACATTGGAAGTGCACATAATTCAATTCAATTCAATTATATTTTGCAATTTCCCTAAATCGCAACCAGAAGCTATCTCAGAAACTTAAATATATTCAGTTTCAGACACAAGAAAGGCATGAATATAAAAAAGCACATAGAGCCATATGGTCCAAAGACAGACATGAAAACATACAGAGCAGGCAGGAGGTTCTGGAGGTCACAGATTTAGAGAGATACCAGTTGTTAATTCCGGCTGTGGGATATTTTTATTACTATTGGTTGAGACTCTGCAGCGTCCACATGGGCGAAACTCACACTGAATGATTAAGAACAAGATTTCTCAAATTTCATCTGTAAATGTCAAGATGGATGCTCTCTAACTGTATACACACTTAACTGTACAGTTCTGGGATGTAGTTAACACACACGCACAACGGTGCACACACTCACACACACACACACGCACAATCTGACGCCAACGCACCGCACAACGTACACACTACACCTACGCACACGGCAGCACACGCACAAGCCAAGTCATGGCTTGGGTTCGATTGGATTCCCCAGTTATCTATAGTATCTCGAGCCGATGGATGAGAGCAGTAACTAAATAAAATTTATTAAACGGTAATTGACCCAACTCTTCGCTCTTAATCTGTATAATTGTATCTGGATCGAAAGCACTCTGATATATGTAAATATGTAACATCATTCTGTATAAGATACACTGTGAAATATATAAACAAAAAGACTGAATAAAGAAATGCCGGAATTAAGATCTATGACTCAGATCATCTACACTCAAAACAAATACAATTCTAAGATTCGGATACGTCTCAGAGTTGTGGGATTTGATAAAGATTATGGAGATCCGTTAGTTCGGCCCAACAGTGGGAAATTTTCAGTGTTTCAGTCATCAGAGACAGAACAGTAGGAATGAGATGCCCACAGCACAAGAGAATTAACTATACCTTTATACTCGTTATAAAATATGATAAAATCTCTAACTTCCGCATAATAAATAATGATAATAATAATAATTCACGATAACAAACAGAGCCGAGAGAGAGAGAGTGAGAGGGGTCAGAGGGAAAGATCCCAGATAGAGACCTGTTGGACAGACCAGAAGATACCAAAGAGACCCCAGATAAGAACCATACAGAGACCAGAGGAGAAAGACCAGATAAGAGACCGTGACCAGACCAGAGATAGACCAGATAGAGACCAGAGAGAGACCAGAGAGAAAGACCCCCGATAGAGAGGTCACTAGAGAGAGAAGACCAGAGAGACGCCCAATAGAGAGGTCACAGAGAGACCACAGATAGAGGAGGTCCACAGAGAGACCACAGATAGATAGGCCAACAGAAGACCAGAGAGAGAGACCACAGAGAGAGAGACCACAGAGAGCCCAGAGAAGACCAGAGAGAGGCCACAGAGAGACCAGATAGTGAGTCCAGAGAGAGAATGTAGATTCTAAGATAGAATGTTTTTCCTAATTTGTTCTGATATTCCTCTCACCGTTGTCTGGTCTGCTCCGTCACAGTTTTCTTGGTCTTGTGTGAGTGAGAGAGAGGGAGAGAAGGAGTGAGAGCAGAGTGAAGGGCGGATCACAAAACTCCCTCATTCGTGCAACTTCTTTTCCGCTTTCCAGATTGTACAGTTCACTTCAAATATTTTTTTCCCTATTTTCTGTATTGCTTACAGGCCACACAATTACAAATATATGTTGGAAAAGTTGCTCTTTGCTAAAGTGAGAGATATAAATTTTTCTTCTTTCTTATGTCAGAGATTGTATTGTAACTTAGTACGTTTTGAGGTATTACTCATTTAGTCTTGTGCTCGTCATTGCTGCTGCCTCACTGGTGATGCAACACTGAATATTTCCCCACTGTTGGACCAAATAAAGGATCTCTTAATCTTTTGTCTAAACTTTGTTTCCTTCATTTGTAGATTTCCTGCGGGGGGTTGCTGCACGTTCCCGACAGGTGCACTCCTACGGTTCAGACTCCCAGAGACCCTGCAAGCGAGATACTTCATGTTTTAAAACTTTGGAATCATCTGGAGACACTTGCCCACGGTCCCATGGGCCATATCACAACGAAGAACAGATCCGAAGCAAAGAGATAAAAGCTAAACAATTTTAAATAAAAAAAATAAGAAAATGTTGGATCCAACCCAAACAAGCCAAGGAGGAAGGAGAAGTACCATGTAGGATTTACTGACGGGATCTGGAACATGGTGAAGGGTGAACCGGGTCTTACACTGCAGTATGTGGATAGTACCATATGAACCAACTGGGACTCTGAGTAGCACAGGACCTGGCCCACTGCTGGGACTCTGAGTATCACAGGGACTGCCTCCTCTGCTGGGACTTCTGTGGAGCACAGGGACTGCCTCCTGCCGGGACCCTGAGGAGCACAGGGACTGGGGGGGGGCCTCTTGCAGTGACTGCCAGCGAGCGACAGGGACTGGCCTCGCTGGTACTCTGAGAGCGAGAATACAAGGACTGGCCTCCTGCTATCCCTGAGTCAGACTAAACAATGGCAAGGCAGCGTATTCAAAATCAGTTTTTTTTTTGAAAAAATAGTGAGCTTCTTCTCCAACAATTTTCAAATCCCAGGTTTAAAACTGATTTAGTTTCTCTGTGCAATCAACTGCGGGACTTTTTCTTCAATCTTTTTGTGCGTGCTTATTTATGTTATATTTTGTTTTACAATTTTTTGCCTTTTTGTTAGGCACTTTGAGGTGCCTTGTGTATGAACTATATACATTCTTTAAGCCACATTGACAAGAAAAGACAAGACTGAAACAGTACAATTTCACTTTGAGATTCACAGCTACTATTCACGAAACAGTTTAAAAAACCTCAAACAAGGTCAGAAATTCTAGGGTAATACTGGACTCAGTAACCTCAGCAGCTTTTAACCATCTAAAAAACTTGCCCAGGATCAAAAACATGTGTCTAAAGCAGACTGTAGATTCGTATCCTTGCAATATGTCTCCAGTAGGTTAGACTACTGCAATGGCCTGCCTCACAGTCCTGTCCAAACATGCTGTAAAACAGCTGCAGTACATTCAAAATGTACTGCAGCTGACTAAACCAGTGAGTACGCATTCATATTAGTCCATTCTGCAGGTCTTCTGCATCTGGCTTCCTGGGCTACATAGAATAGAACTATAAAAACAGCTCTGCTTGGTAACAAGTCTCTCCATGTGCCCTCGCACCAAAATATATTAGTGACATGTTAGTCCCATATGAACCAGACCCGGACTCTGAGAGCACAGGGACTGGACTTCCTGTTTAGGGCCCAGAGTCCATAACTAAACATGGGGAGTTCTGCTTATTTCAGATTCATGCTGCTTAAAATCGGGAACAATATCTTCCAGAAAGAATGTGAGACAGGCCTCCTCCTCTGACAATGTTTAAAACCAGTACAACGATTATCTGTTTATGCTGTGGCTAACAACTGAGGTATTTTTATATTTTTATCTTTGGTTCTTTTTAAATGTACTCTGATTATTTATGACTTTTGCTAATTTTGTTCAGACCCTCTTAGTTTGCCCTTGTGTATAAATTGTGCGATACAAATAATCTTGCCTCTTCCTAAAATCGA